AGGAATTACCCAAATGTAGTCTCAATGAAGTCAAATAATGGTCCTTCATGAATAAATCGGACTGCCAATCACTTCTCGACTAGTATTTGGTGTCACGAAGTCACAAAAAATTGGTAAACTTAATTTAATCTGAGTTAATAGATCAAGTGCATGTACCTTACCTAACCTAACCTAACCGAACACAACTCAGATTAAATTAAGTTTACCAATTTTTGTGACTTTATGACACCAAATAATAATCGAGAAGTGATTCACAGCCCGATTTACACTTGTACGACCATCATTTGACTTCATTGCGGCTACATTTGGGTAATTACTCGCTCTCTCGGTACATGCACTCGATCTATTAACTCAGATTACAGTAAGTTTTCCAATTTTTTGTGACTTTGTGACACCAAATACTAGTCGAGAAGTGATTAGCAGTCCGATTTATTCATGTAGGACCATTATTTGACTTCAATGCGGCTACATATTTTACGTTTCCATTGTTTACTGGCAGTAAATGGTAAATATTTTGATATTATTTTCTTGTAACACCGTTCATTCCTACCACTAATCTATTATCATATTCAAATAAGACGTCTAATTATAAGATAATTTTCATTTATTACATTAACGGCGGAAATGTATAATAACGGAGAGAGCTCTTCCAAAATATTTTCTATTTTCTTCCATTAACATCCTGCCATTATCGTCTGCCTTTCCTCCAACACTGCATGTCTCCAGCGTCCCCTTCATAAATCATCCTGCGCATGTGTTGCTGTACACGTCACACGGCCAATCAAAAGCCTTTTTTATTTTGAAACCAATTAAAATGTTTTTGGGCTTAATTCGCGGTATTTTTGACCCAATCAAATTCGAGTATTCTTTTTGGTCTCATATTTCGAAATTCAAAATCAGTTCCCACCATGGAAGCCTGCAATGGGTGTAACTTCAATTATATGGAATTGATTGCGAGTTTTTGGGAAAAAAGTTCAGAAACTATAGCATTTTTTCAAGATATATATTCATTCATGATTCTTCTGGTGATGTTCTTCACAAATTTTTGGAAGAAGCTGCCCGCCTATACCCCCCGTTAAGTGAGAATCCACGTCAGCAATCAGGCCAATAAGGTAAAAAATAGGTGATTCCATCATATGGTGAGAGTCAGTTAAGTTAGGTCAGGTTAGGTTTGGTTATTGTTTTTCTAGTGTTTTATTGTGTATTTGTTAGTCGTTTAGGCACTTTTTTTTTCTCGGAAAACGTTAAATGAAAAAAAATCGCAAAAAAAAAAAACGGCTAATTTCCGCCAAAAAGGAAGGTCATATTTGGTCTCAGCACACACAAATACACTATAAAAGTATATTTTTAACTTGCTACAAATGAACGGTGCTACAAGAAAAATTTACCAATATTTTTCATGTCTGAAGCTAAAAGTTGCTCCTCGCCCTTCCCGTCATGCACAGATTGAACCTAACAAAACTATTACCCATGTAGAGGTCGACCCCCAATTTTTTGCCTAAAAATTGGGTCTTAAAAACACGAACTACACACGAGTATATACGGTATGTCATCTGGTAAACAAGTTTGAACAGCACTGCACTGATGTTATCTTAGGACTTGATATGCAGTATGTTGGATCATTCGAAGGTTACTTATACATACTTGGCTCCTATATACTTTATCTTAGTCATTTTTATTTAAGCTGTAATTAATGGTAATGCTTCATATGTTTAAATGTTATGAAAGTTGTAATCTTTTATTTCCAACAGCCACAGCATTGCCTGTGTATATGCAGCAAACATCTCAGCCAGCTGTAACTGTAGCTGCTGTGAAAACTACAGGCAATACTTGGCAAACTTTCAAGAAACCTGGAACTATGCAGGGCAAGGCTCAGAAGCCTAAGGCACCCCCAAAACCACAGCAGCTTCACTATTGTGATGTTTGTAAGATAAGTTGTGCAGGACCTCAAACTTACCGGTACCGAGAACATCTTGAAGGCCAGAAGCACAAGAAAAAAAGAGGCGGCTGCAAAGGCTGGACCAACGCCGTCCTGCCATGCAGCCTCGCTGCGTTGTGAACTCTGTGATGTCACCTGTACCGGTGCAGATGAATATGCTGCTCACATTCGTGGTGCCAAACATCAAAAGGTAAAAATTAGATAATAATAAGAATTATAAATTGATTGTTTAAAAACCAAATACCCTGTATCCTGTTTTGGGAAACAAAATTGGTTGTAGGAGGTAGAAGCCCATTATTTAAGGAATTGTTATTTTTGTGTCAAGTGTTAAGGTTTTGTCTTAACTCTTAATGTTGTGTGATCCTTAAGAATAATTACTGAATATAAGAAATTTATGTATGAAGGCAGAGTAGTGATTGTAGACAGGTTCCCTGACTACAGTATAATACTGTACTTATCTCATTGTAGAAATGAATTGCATTTTAATTTTTTGTAGACAATATTGTAAGTGATCTTACTCTTTGTGAGAGACTTCATGTCTGTGATAGTGAAACATAATGGTTTGCATCATGTGTCCATTGATTTAGAAAATATATAAAGTATGTAAATATTCTTGGCCTTTCCTCAAGGAAAAACATAGTTTCTGGTTGAATATTTTTCTTAGCTCATGATAAAGCATTGGTTCTGAACTTGGGAGGTAATTGTCTCAAGGATTGAACATAATTCTGACTCCTGGCTCAGAATACTGAATCTGTGTTGTGCATGCATGTGTATGTGTACAGTATGAGGTACAAACACTGCTTGTGCTTCAACATATATCAGAGTAACAGTTCTGCTTGACTGAGCTGGGACAGTGTTACACTGTTAAAATAATATGAGGATCACCATTTTGCCTCTGAATGACAGATATCGGTTACTTCAGTGGCTTCATCCTGTATGTCTTACCATTTCATAAATTTGTAGTGCACCAGGGATTCACTGTTGATGATAGGTGGAGGGATGGTTTCACTGTTGATGATAGGTGGAGGGATGGTTTCACTGTTGATGATAGGTGGAGGGATGGTTTCACTGTTGATGATAGGTGGAGGGATGGTTTCACCGTTGATAGGAACGGTGGGGGGCATGGATTCACTGCTGATAGGTTTGGGTGGGGGGGGAGGGGATTCAATGTTGATAGGTTAAGAAGCACTTGTTAGATAAAGGAATATTTACTTTTGACTTGTGAGTGGACTCACCAAGCCTTTTCTCTTTAAAGGTTGTAAAACTTCACCAAAAATTGGGCAAACCAATTCCATCAACTGCCCCTGTTGTAGTTGGAGGTACAACCAAGACATCAACCACCACGTCAGGAGCTACTGTAGGTGCTAAGACTACCACTAGTGGAGGTACAGCAGCTACCACAGGTACCCTAACTGCTACAGATGGCAAGAAAGATGACCTAAAGGATGATTTGTTAGACCTCAAGGAAAGTGACGTTGAACCTGCAGGACAAGATTATATTGAAGAAATTAAAAATGAAGAAGGTAGGATGTTACAAGTGACATATGAGATAGTTCTTATTTCAATTATTTCTTTACATTGAAGAGGAATTTTTTATACCTCAAATCATCCAATTTCTAACCCAAAGAAAAATTTAATTTTGTGTGTTATCAGAATAGAGATGTTACCATTAATCCCCTCGTACATTTTTTGTTGCAGTAAGATTCAACCCCATTTACTGATATTTGAAAATCTTCTAATTATTTACATGATTATCATCTTTTCTTGTAGGCAAAGTGATCAGTTTCAATTGCAAGTTGTGTGAGTGTCGTTTCAATGATCCCAACGCCAAAGACATTCACTTGAAGGATCGTCTTCATCAATTAAGGTACAAGAAAAAAGTTAATCCAGCATCAGTTGAGGAATTCAAACCATCGGCGCTTCAACGTGAACTTCAAGAAGAAAAGCTTCGCCGCCAACAGGTGAGATACTGGTTATGTGAGACATAGCTTTTGTAAATATATGCCGTAGAAACCTTGCCATAACACATTATAACACCAATTTACTGCTAATTACACTTCACTTTGCATTGACGAGGTGTGTTTGGGTTTACTTGAGTACGCTAAGCGCATGATTCGACATTGATGGAATTGGAGTGACTTGCCTCGTGGTCAGAACTCTTAATACTTTACTGATATTTTAGTTCTCTAAGCTGATACTTACTGTACTCGGCATATGAAAACTTTAAGTGCATGCCATGGTTAGTCCACACTTGATTGGATTGCCAGGTTCATGTGTACAGTTGGCTATTTTAATAATTGAAAGTTTTATAAATGTGTTTTTCTTCAAACTAAAGCCTCTTACAAATTCCTGAGAACGGGTAGGTAAATTGCATGGCATTTCATTTGCATTTTTTTCTGCAGGGATAAGTAGTCAAGTGTAGTTTTTCAGTTTTGTACACAATGTTTGAATTTATATGTTGGGGGTCACTGCTTTAGAGGGGTCTTGCCTAAATACTACTGTACAGTATTACCCCGCTTTACATGGTTTCACTTTCCACGATTTCTCGATTTCTCATTTATGTGGTACCTCGCCAGAACCAGACTTTCACTTTCCGAGGTGCATCTACTCATATACGCGGTGAAGTATGATTTTTTTTTTTATTTAGCTCATAAAATTCATACAAGTTACCCTGCGAGAATATAATTTACATTGCTGGAATTCTTACAATATGATGATCATTTTGAATATAAACATCATGGATTTTGCATTAGACATACTAATTTTAGATCTAATGTAATAATTTGGTTTACACAAAGCAAATATTTTATCTTTTGTGCAAAATATATGAAGTTTACATTCAAAATATTCCCTGACCTGCAAGGAATCCAGAAATGTCAATTATATTATCCTAACTTTAGTCTGAGGTATTATTTATTACTAAACATTAAAATCTAGTGTTTTCACCCAAACATTTCTCTGAGAGGTAGGAGCTAGTGAGCTGGGAAGAGTGGGGGGGGGATTTGAGTCCATTATTTGAATGGATATTAAGCTGGCGACTGTATTTCTATTAAATATTAATTATGTGAGCATACCATCATAAAATTTAGATGTTATTTTTACTACAACATAGGTATTGTGTCAGAAAAAGTGGAGTTTGGGGGTCCGGCCAGTCTCTATTGGAATTAATCCCATATGTTCTGTTGTTCACTTTACGCGGTTTTCACTTTCCGCGGTACCCTGTGGGTTCAATTGACTGCGTAAATCGGGGTACTACTGTACTATGATTTGTAAATTTTGTTAAGAATACTTTCATAATTTAGAAGAAGGTTTTTCTTGAAAGTTGCCTGAAATTATTTTTAAGTCATTAATAACATTACCATAGCTGTTTTATTATAATTGGAAAGTTTTTCTGGGATCTTTTTTCCTTTCTGGTAATACAATATGTGACATTTTTTTAGTTTGTGATTGTATTGTGTTGTTATTTTGAAGATACAGAGGACTAAATGTATTTGCATATTGATCATTTGGACTACAGTTTTAACATCTGTTCTCATCTTCTGGAGTAATTTTTTACTTTCATATTCTTTAATCTGTGCTGACAGTTTGGTATATACATTTTTTTTTAACCTTTTGAGTTATAAACTAGATTTATTTAATGTGTGCATGTCCGTCAGTCTCATATAACTGCACCCGGTATTCAGAGTTGGGCGGATGATGGAAATATAATCGTCCACTAATACTTTGGTATTTGACTTCCGTATGACTGTACCTTGTATGGTTTTATTTGTGAGTGCATTGTTTGCATGTTTAGTGTTTATTACATATAACTGTTGTGTGGTATATTTGTTTATCATTTTTAAACGGTCAGTGTGATCACTGAATATACAGTATACTTTCTGTTATACAGTGATACCCCGATTTATGCGGTCAATTGAACCCACAGGGTACCGCGTAAAACGAAAACCTCGTAAAGTGAACAACAGAAAATATGGGATTAATTCCAATAGAGACTGGCCCGATCCCTAAACTCCACTTTTTCTGACACAATACCTATGTTGTAGTAAAAATAATACCTTAATTTTATGATGGTATGCTCACACAATTAATATTTAATAGAAATACAGTCGCCAGGTTAATATCCATTCAAATAATGGACTCAAATCCCCCCCCTCCCCACCTTCCCATGGCTCTCTGGCTTCTCCCTCTCTGAAAAATGTTTGGATGAATACACTAGATTTTAAGGTATAGTAATAAATAATACCTCAGACTAAAGTTAGGATAATATAATTGACATTTCTGGATTACTTGCAGGCCAGGGAATATTTTGAATGTAAACTTTATATATTTTGCACAAAAGATAAAATATTTGCTTTGTTTAAACCAAATTATTACATTAGATCTAAAATTTGTATGTCTAATGCAAAATCCATGATGTTTATATTCAAAATGATCATCATATTGTAAGAATTCCAACAATGTAAATTATATTCTGGCCGGGTAATTTGTATGAATTTTATGAGCTAAATAAAAAAATTATACTTCACCCGCGTATATGAGTAGATGCACCGCGGAAAATGAAATTCCGGTTCTGGCTAGGTTCCGCAGGTACCGCGCAAATGTAGAATCACTTAAAGCGAAACTGCGTAAATCGGAGTATTACTATACTCAATCAGAGTAATATTTTGAAATAGATTTTTATTTTATTTTTATCTAAGTATGTTTTAGTGAGCATTATGTTGTACATCTCTAAGTTGAGTGTAAGTATTGCTTGTACATAGCCTGGTTTGCACCAGCTGCGTGAGGAGATGTGGCGGCGACGTGAGGAGGATCGGTGGTACTGGGTGTTGATGTTTATATGCTGCGTTTATTGATTATACAGTCGGCCCTTAACATACGCGGGGGTTACGTAACAGAGATACCCGTGGATGTTAAAAATCCGTGTATTTTTGCTGCCCCCCCCCCCCAAAAAAAAACCTGGCCCCCATGTCCTTATTTACCGTATATACCTGTGTGTAGTTCGAGTTTTTAAGACCAAATTATTTGGCAAAAAATTGGGGGTCGACCTCTAAACGGGTAATAGTTTCCTTAGGTTGAAAAATATTTACCGGGTACCAGTAACTACTAGTAAACAATGCACCAACGCACCACCAGCTGTGAGTGTCGGTACAGTTGCCAGGGCAGATCTCTTGCGTCATCATAGCAAGCCCAAAGTAGCCAAATCCATCGTATGGTAGCACAGGACGATGTAAAACATAAAGTATTCATTTATTAAAGTTTATTTATAGATACTGTACATAAATTTTTGTTCATTACATTTGAAACATCAATCTTTGTTAATTGAATTTGAAACAAAAGAGAACTATGATACCGTATTTTCATTAAAATGTTACATCACAAGTATATTTTACCTTAACTGTGACTGAATGAATATACGTATTCTCAGAAATAAATATGGAAATATAATATTTTTGCTGGAATGACGTACATATTACAGTGGAAAGTGGGATAAAATCATGACGAAAACAATGTCTCTCGCTTTCTTTCGTTATTCAAAAGATTTTACTGTAATCGCTTTTCGAATGGTTTTCAGTTAAAAAACTGTTGTACTCGTACTGTATTATAATAATATTCTATCCTATCATTAGCCTTATAATCCCACAACTGAAAACCATTCGAAAAGCGATTACGGTAACATCTTTTGAACGAAAGAAAGAGAAAGTCATTGCTTTCGTCACAATTTTATCCCACTTTCCACTGTAATACGTACATCATTTCAGCAAAAATATTACATTTCCATGTTCTCAGAAATAAATGGTAGTTTTGTTGAAACGTAATGTACAGTATTTAATATTAAAATGCAAAAATAGCTATAAAAACAATTAATACACCCGTAATGTACTGGCTGGCATCTCCACTCGTCCCTGCTCCCGCGTCCAAGGTCACCACTCCTCCCAACTCGCTCCCTCCGCCACCTCCTCACTGTCACTACTGCCGACAACAACACAAATGTTTTGTGAATAACTGCACCTCCACTTCCTATGTACAGTACTGAACTGTACTGTGCTGTGCATTTTTACAAACAATAAACATGACAAGAAAAGCTATTAAAAAAAAGAGATAAAAATTTCACTTTACTGTACAGTACCTATCCTCGACGACAGGACGGGGGTCATCGGGCTCATCGTTACTCAATTCCATAGCGGGTGGTGAAGTGGGGGCGACGGTGGATTCAGCTGCTTCCTCACTGCCGCCAGTGATTGATGGTGTTAAATCTCTCCTTCGGTGATCAAAGAACATGGTGATGGGGAGTTGTCGTCTCTTTCTTTTCATTTCTTCCATGATGTTTTTGTATGGAGCAAAAACGTCATCCATCCCTCGCATGAATTTCAGGGCACGCACCATGGAGTGGTCCATACTATAGGCCAGGTTTTTCAGTGCCTCAATATTCCTGGTCATCTCCCCCAACTTCTCCAACGTTTTTTCTTGGTGCTCTTCCTCTTCCTCTTTCCCTTTCGCTTCCTCTTCCTTGCCTGAGTCTACTAACTCCTGTAGATCCTCCTTGGTCAGCTGAGTGTCGTGCTCTTCAATTAGCTCCCTAATCTCGTCCTCTGCCATATCCTGGAAGCCTTCAGCAGCCACCTTCCTTGACAGTGCCAAGGTCTTCCTGAATACAGTTAACCCTCACTTTACGCGGTTAATTCAACCCACAGGGTACAGCGGAAAGTGAGAAATGCGTAAAGTGAACAACATAACATATGGGATTAATTGAAATAGAGACCGGCTGACCCCCAAACTCCACTTTTTCCGACACAATACCTATGTTCTAGTAAAAATAACATCTTAATTTTATGATGGTACATGCACACAATTAATACTTAAGAGAAATAGAGAAATACATTCGCCAAGTTAATGTCCATTCAAATAATGGACTCAACTCCCTCCCCCTCTTCTCACACTACACTCGCTGGCTCTTCCCTTTCTAAGAAATTTTTTGGGGAAAAACCACTACATTTTAAGGTATAGTAATAAATAATACCTCAAGCTAAAGTTAGGATAATATAATTGACATTGCTGGATTCCTTGTAAGACCAGGAATATTTTGAATATAAATGTCATATTTTGCACAAAAGATAACATATTTACTCAGAGTAAACAAAATACTTACATTAGATCTAAAATTTGTATGTCTAATGCAAAATCTATGATGTTTATATTCAAAATGATCATCAAATTGTAAGAATTCCAGCAATGTAAATTATATTCTGGCCGGGTAATTTGTATGAATTTTATGAGCTAAAACAAATATCTTCAGTTAATAAAAAAAAAAAATATTCTTCACGACACTATCTGTCAATCAAAGTATAACCGCGCCAGATGGTCGGTCGGTCCTCAACCCTCCTCCCTACCAGAGAAATGTTGGGTGAAAAAACTAGATTTTAACTTTTAGTAATAAATAATACCTCAAACTAAAGTTAGGATAATATAATTGACATTGCTGGATTCCTTGTAAGACCAGGAATATTTTGAATATAAATGTCATATTTTGCACAAAAGATAACATATTTACTCAGAGTAAACAAAATACTTACATTAGATCTAAAATTTGTATGTCTAATGCAAAATCTATGATGCTTATATTCAAAATGATCATCAATTGTAAGAATTCCAGCAATGTAAATTATATTCTGGCCGGATACTTTGTATGAATTTTATGAGCTAAATAAAAAAAAATTATACTTCACCCGCGTAAAGGGGTACACGCACCGCGGAATGTGAGCATCCCGGGTTCTGGCAGGGTACGTGGAAACGTGGAATGTAGGACCGCGTAAAGTGAGGGTTGACTGTATTTTCATTAAAATCCATCAAAATCATTTTCCTTGTCATCCTCTTAAGCACCAAACAGCTCCTCCCACTCATCTCCTTGAACAGGGCTAGAGGGTACGTGTTTTTCGAATCATTTTCAATTAAAAAAATGTTGCAGCACATGTATATTTTACCTAAACTGCGCCTGAATGAATATATATTCTCAGAAATAAATAGTAGTTTTGCTGAAACGTGATGTATTTCAATGTAAAATAGGATAAAATACATGACGAAAACAAAAGACTTTACCTAACCTTCCGATGTTCAAGAGATGTTACTCGTTTTTTTAATAGTTTTCGGTTAAAATACTGTTATATTACAATGATATTCTATTCATACTGTGCTTGATATACTACATTCACAGAAATGTAATATTTTTGCTGAAATGACGTACGTATTACAGTGGAAAGTGGGATAAAATCGTGACGAAAACAATGACTCGCTTTGTTTCGTTCAAAAGATGTTACCGTAATCGCTTTTCGAATGGTTTTCAGTTTAAAAACTGTTGCATCACAAGTGAATTAGGATAGAATATTATTGTAATACAACAGTTTTTTTTACTGAAAACCATTCGAAAAGCGATTACGGTAACATCTTTTGAACGAAAGAAAGCGAAAGTCATTGCTTTCGTTACTTTCCACTGTAATATGTACGTCATTTCAGCAAAATATTACATTTCCATATTCTGAGAAATAAATAGTAGTTTTGCTGAAACGTAATGCATTTCAATGAAAATTAGGATAAACTACATGAAAACAAAAGACTTTACCTAACCTTTCGATGTTCAAGATATGTTACTCGTTTTTTTTAGTAGTTTTCGGTCAAAATACTCTTATATTAGTGATATTCTATTCATACTGTGCTTGATATAATACATTCACGGAAATGTAATATTTTTGCAACTACAATGCTGATGTCAACACAAGCGTGGTTACAGCGAGACTGACTGAGTGAGGGAGAGCTATGCGTGTCTGTGTGAGGTTGTGGGAGCGGGCGGTGTCCCGTGTTCGGTGCCGCGTGCGAGTTGAATGGCACGCAATTTGAATGTACTTCAATTACAGTCGACCCTCGTTAAAGCGGACTAATAGGGGGGAAGGGTGTCCGTTTTAGCCGATTGTCCGAATTAACCGATTTAGGGGTTAATATTGCATTATACAGCTATGTGTATGTTTATTTGAGTGCCCCGTCATAGGAGTCCGTTTTCTCTCACTTCAGCACTCCTGAGTCGTCTGTTTTCTCTTAATCTTAGAGTGCACCAGAGACTGTTATATCTTAGTAGTGACACAGAATTTGATATTGCAACTGGGGTTGCAATTGTTGAGGCAACTTAGGTATGTCTGATTACAGTTGGAATATTCAAGATCCATTGTGAGTGATGTTTAAATCTTCAACTGTCTTTATGGTTGGTAAAACTTGTCAAGTCTGTCAGTCTGAATGGCATGTGTGAGGCCTTGTGTTTGTACAACCGATAAATATATAAATATATAATGTTATGATAATTATCAGAAACACATAGGCATAACGAGGTTTATTACAAAGTGATGAAAAGGATACTGTATAGTGGCTAGTCCACAAAACATAGCCATGTCTCTTTACTTGAGTGCCCCGTCATAGGAGTCCGTTTTCTCTCACTTCAGGACGCCTGAGTCGTCTGTTTTCTCTTAATCTTAGAGTGCACCAGGGACTTTGTTATTTCTTATTAGTGACACAGAATTTGAAATTGCAACTGGGACAATCCCAGAACCAGAAATTTGATATGGTCAGTTCAGATTTCGTCCGATTTATCCGAAATCCGGATTAAAGGGGTCCGAATTAACGCGTATGTTAAGGGCCGACTGTATATACATTATATATTATGTTACTTCTTACCAAAGTCAGAAAGTGTTTAGGCTTGCGTAAACACTAAATGTGTTAGGCACGTTGTACGAACAACAGAGAATAAACGCTCTAGGTAGACCGACCATGTGACTTGTCATTCTCCCATTAAATAATGCAAGATGCTACACTGGGAAGATCGGAGAAGGTACGAAGAGGAGTGTGAATATCACGACTGGTGCCGCTGTTATCCTAGAGGCCTTCTTGGACCTCCTCCCATGATGCCGCCTGGTATGCCAAGACCGCCTGGAATGCCTCCAATGATGGTAAGACTTAATATCTTATTTTTGGAATAAAAACAGTTGTTAATGAACTTGATAATTTTGGATTAAACAGAATATTGTACTGTATTGAAATTGGGAATATACAGGCTCACCTTGCAAATTTGTTTCTCGGAAGTCCATTTTTCCACAAATCTGCACATTTTCATGAACGTTTTCCAATGACTGTTTTTTGCTTGTCCGTGTTTTTTTTTTTTTTTTTTTTTTTTTAAGAAAAACAAAATATTTTGAAATTTAAGTTCTTCTGAAAATGCACGAATCTGTGGAGAAGCGGAGTTCTTCAACACTTATTCCATTCTATATAAATGATGTGGCTTGATTATAAAGAAAATATAATATAAAACTATAAAATAAGAAAAGTGAAGAGCATGGATGGGTGTGTGTGTGGAGGCAGTGGGTTGTAACTGCTGCTGTGCTCTCCCACCCCCAATGTGACATCACAGTATACACACAGCAGCCACATATCTGTGAGTCAGTTGGTTGACTGCCTTACTTAATTGGTTTGTGTTGCCCAGGTGATGGTTTGACTGCAGAAGGAGCTATTTTTTGTACATAAAATATGTACTACAGGTTGTACCTCTCTAGTCCGGCAACCTCGGGACCTGACCGGTGCCGGACCATGGAAATTCACCCTTTTCCTGGATAGATAGTGACTTGTGCTTAAGCCTGGAAGCACTAGCACCACTTTCTCTGCATCATGGTCTCTTTGAAGACATATTGAAGGGTTAAATGTCGTATAGTAGCTTCTCAAATTTCGCGAGTTTTTAATTCTTAACGTATTTTATTGGAACACAAAAAAAATAAATAAATAAAAATTTTGACGGCGGAAACTTGAATTTCGACGGGTTTGAACGGCCCGCCAACGTGCAGACGACGTGCATAATCGTGTAAACAGCGTCATTTCTCTTATGTACAAAAGATTCATTATTGTTTATTACTGAATGTCTTTTTTATTGAATTAATGTTTATGTGTGCAAAATGACCAATACAATTCATTAATAATACGTAGAATATTAAAACACACGAGGAAATGACACAGCATTGTATTCGTTGATTACAAAACCAGTGACTGACTGGTTCTACATATAAAACTGAAGAAAATAAGACCTTGGCTGTAGCTGTAGTAAAATTAATATGGTTATTTTAAGTAATGTTATTTAATGTTAATAAATGGAACAATAGAAGTAGCTAACGATAATGGTAAAGAAAAAAGAGAGATCGCATATGTAAGTGCGCATGCGCACACGTGAAAACATATCATCATTACTTTACATAAGAATATGAAAGCAACACTTATTTACTGTTCATATATATTTTAATTAATGTTTCTGAATTTTTTTTATTGAATTAATGTACGTGTGTGCAAAATTAACAATACAATTTATTAATAATACGTGGAATATTAGAGGAGACGAGACGGCTGCCGGCATTGTTTATGTTAAAGCTTACGAAACCAGTGACTGATTGGTTCTACATATAAAACTGAAGAAAATAAGACCCTGAGTTTATCTGTAGTAAAATTAATGTAAAAAAATGAATATGGTTGCTTGAAGTACCTGTAATGTTATTTAATGTTAATAAATGGAACAATATAAGTAGCTAACCATTAATGGTAAAAAAAAAGTGAGACTGCTCGTATGTAATTGCGCACATGTGAAAATATATCGTCATTACTCTACATAAGAATATGAAAGTAACACTTATTTACTGCTCATATATATTGAAGGGTTAAATGTTGTACTCTGTATAGACAAGCAGAGAGAGAGAGAGAGAGAGAGCAGCCGAACTGCCGGATGTAAACAAACCTTAATTTCCCGCGGCTTTTTTTTTTTTATTAAGGGGATTAGCCCCAGGGCTGTGGAGTCGAAGACAAAACCTTCGACTCCGACTCCTCAAATTTTTATGCTTCCGACTCCGACTCCTTGGCCTATTTATAACAACTATTTCTACCATCCTAATTGTAATTTGTATGTTGTAACCTGCATAGGTAAAAAGTAAAACACCGTGGCTATACTGCTACAGCTTTATTAATGATCTGGACGATATTTAAGAACTACAAAAAGATGATAGGCTTGACTTTCAAAGTTTCAATCAAAAGAAAAATAAATTTATTAAGAATTCAAGATATTAACTAGAAAACACCATTTACATGTATATCTAAAAGTTCGATCTCAGCATATGAATTTTGTTTAAGCTCATAATCTGATGTGGATCTAAATGATGATCCTACAATTCCTTTTAAAGTAAAGTTATATATTTATGTACATTAAAGAAATGAATACCTTATTAAGGAAAATGGATAAACCTTACATGATTAAGTTATTAAATTAAATTTGCCTTAATCTCACCAAAAACAGGTTGTAGCTAATTGTTTTGTAGCTGAGAGCCTCTGTGCAGTTTTCAACGAAACAAAATTTGATATAATTCAAAATTTCAAATGGTAAAGAAGAGACTATCGTCCAAAATTATAGTGCTATACTGTGCCTGCTACAATAAATTCATAATAATGCTTATAAAATGGAAATAAATTCTTTTAATAATTTAAGAAAATTAGTGGGATCAGTGGAATCACTGCAATGAATATGCCTGAGTTCATATATTTGTTCTTAGGAACAGAATAGCTTCAGTCGGAGTCGGAGTCTGGACAATTTTACCGACTCCGACTCCGAAAGCCGAAATTTCCTCCGACTCCTCGATTCCGACTCCACAGCCCTGATTAGCCCACCCGGGAATAGGTCACTGACCCACATTAGGGCCTGAGGGGCAAAAATTTAATACTCCTGTAATAATAATAATAATTCAGATAAGTAAAAAAAAAATAAAAGAAAGCTGCCTATCTACCTACTGGACAAACTAAAATCGTTCCGGACCACGGGAGTTTCCGGACCACAGAATGCCGGACTAGAGAGGTACAACCTGTATTGTATTTTATGATATTCCTTGTATAAATTTGATTCTCTATCAGTAATTTTGGTCAGTTTTTTACATGCAATTTGAATTTGTTTCACATCAGACCAACCTATTACTCAGTAAATCATTTAACTTTGAATACCATTTATATAGAGTATAATGTATTAAAAAACTGTCCAATAAATATTGCATTGTGGTTTAACTTTGAAACAATAAATATTTAGTTTTTCAACATATGATTAGCAAATTTTTCTTTTTAATGCTTATCTCACAAATCCATGCCTTTTGAAAATTTGGCCACTGGGATACCAATTAGCCCAAAATTTCAAGGTCAGCCTGTAGAGTATTTTTTTTATTTCATTTATTTTTTGTCTTGCTCTATATATGGGTCAAAATTATTTGATCTGTACATAAACAGTACTGTATATCTCGCTCAAATGTGTAGGCAGAATTATCCAAATACTCCCCAGAATTACTGTTTTTTCTTTAAGAACATTCTTGGATTACCTGATTAGATTTTCTGCCAAATTTATTTTGGCACTAGTGTAGTGGAGGCATGTGCTTTTGCTTTAGTGTGGCCTAATCTGTATCAGCTAAAAAGATATTGACTGGATCGCATTTTTCAAAGGTGAAAGAAAGAGAATGAGGGGTCATGCCTGTGTGGAGACCCTGGAATAAGGATTTTAACTATCACATAAACTGAACCACTCAGAGAATTTTGTGAGCTTACTAAAGTCTCTTTACTGTGGTAAATTGAAATTTTTATCCATGACCACAAATTTTTATTTTGGTGAGTGGTATCCCCAAAGTTTTCCATTTTGTGAGGAAACCTAAAAGACCCCTTTAAATTTCAAAGTGATCACAAGAATAATTAAGAAAATTTGGTGATTTGAAGAAAAGGAATCTTAATGTTAACGTTCAATATATTTTCTGACAGCCAGGTTCGAACATGCCAGATTGAATTGATAATGGTGTATTTTATTGTATTATATTGACTTAGTAGAGACTTTTTCTGTTTGAAAATCTGTTATTAGCTTTTTGCTACTTCAATCTCCTTTCTCAGCTTCATTATTTTATCATGAAGGTTATTATTTACCCAAGCTCTTCCATAGGTTAGATAAGACATTCACACTAAATTAAGTACTGTATTGGTTTGCACATGTCTGAAGGGAGGCCATGTCAGGGTAGTTGGTTGACTTTGGTCATTTGGTGGAAGCATCATGGGACCAGAAATTATGTTGGGGGAGAGGGACTGCAGTAGTTTTTATATTTTTTCCTTGTGTTTCTTTTGTTTTGTGCATCACAGTGTTTGTGATTTACGTTCTCTCAATTTATGTTGTATATCCAGTTAGTAAGTGATGATACCTTTTTATTTTATCTCATCTTGCATTTGTGCATTCTTGCCTTTTGTTTATTCCTTCTTATTCCCAGACCTCATACTGTATGTATGTTTGCTAACTGGGATGTATTCCGGAAACCAGAACCACCGTGTTTGAGTGTAAATATCCTTCAGTAATGGGAAAATTTTTGTATAAACAAAGTGAAAGTAATTGAAGTACTTTTTAATTGGATAGTCTTCAATATTAGGAATACTTTTGATTCAGTTTTATAGAATCCAAACCATAATAGATTATTTAGTAAGTATTTCATGAAATATTTTAGCAAGATTCACCTTGGAAGGCATAAGAGAAGAAAAATTTGGGAGTAAAGGCTGTCTGGGTGCATTTATTCAAGGTCTATGTACTCTTCTGGTTGTTGATTCTGTAATTAATTTTTTTGCAAACAACCATAGGATGTTTGTGTTGGTATAATATATTTATTGACTCGATATATTATATAAAAATATTGATTGGTATGGTATTTTATGTGTGAATGTTGCAAATCCCTCATTTTGTGTGTGATTGTGTTACCAAATTTATCAGATTAGGATCATTAGCAAGTTTTGAGTTAAAGCAAAGTGCTACTGTATAAAATCATTGGTTTTGCATGTGAGAATAAGCCTGCCCCCTTTTCCCAACTTTATAATTGAAGTTTTTATTAATTAAGACCTGGAGTCGTGTGTATGTCTGGGGGGTATGGCTCAGATGTATGCAGTAGCTTCCAATTCCCAGTAACTCTCCATTGTAAAGTTCTCATACATATAAACATTTCTCCTCCCACAGCCTATGCGCAGACCAGATTCTAGTGATGATCGCCATGTTCTAGCAAAGCATGCAGAAATATATCCCAAAGAGGAGGAGCTCTGGGCTATCCAGAAGATTGTGTCCAACACAAAAAAGGCTCTGAAAATGGTGTCTGACTACTTGGCAGAGGTAGATGCCCCCAAGGAACAGCAGGTTATGCCAAAGGCTAAAAAAGACGTAAAAGAAGAAGATCCTAAAGGAGATGATGATAAAAAAGATGGGTAAGATATTAGTTTTTATTATAAGTGTATAAAGGTTAATCTACAGTAAGTTATTTAGCTTCGTAGAATTATAAGACGGGTTAATTCTCCTTGTATAACACGCACAATATGTTTGGATGTGTTACGGTAATGGAGAGTAAAAGATGTGAGAATGTATATATAATTCTAGTTGGATGCTTGGAGAAAAAGAGGAGGCCAAGGAGTAGATTCAGGATGGGGGCAAAGGATGTACAGTATAAGAGTTGAGAGGACTGGGCATCCAGGAAGCATCAGGATATAATAGTTACTAGGGAAGGACTGCATATCTAAAAAGTTACAAGGCTAAATTAGATATAGGACATTGTTGTGGAGGGAGAGTGTCTTAACAAAGCATACCAGGATAGCAAAAAAATACATGAATGACCACAAGTGAAGAGTGTGTTTTAGTGCATTTGCCAGGTCTTACACACCACCTTAAATTAAACAAGTTCTTGAGAATATCCTCCAACATTGATTTTGAATCTGGTAACACAATAAAGTGTGTAGACTGTGTATGGAGAGGGGGGGGGGGTAGGGGGTTGGAGACTTAAGCCGCCATAACACGAGCACATTTATGAGCAATTAATTTGAAGCCAATTTGGGAGCCAGAAATTGAGCAATTTTTTCCAAGTATTGTCATGGGTAGTCTCTGCTCCAATTGGAACAGTAAGAAAAAACAGGTGAACGTTGCTATCTTTGGAATTCTTGTTATTTTTACAAAAAAAGTGAGAAATTTAATAAGAACGAATTGGTTGGGAAGGAGGACTGAAAGTGTTCATTATAAACTGGTTGTGAACGATCATAGCTACAGTAGGGAGGGCTCCAAGTGTGTGTGGACTGTGAATTGCTGTCACACTTGTGTTTTGTAAACAAACATGTCAAAACGGTATCCAAATTATAAAGTATAAAGTATATACTTTAAATATATATTTTTTTCTTCTGTTTTTAGTGAAAAGAAGGAGGATGGTCCACCTCGAATGCTGAAGTGTGTGATGCGAGTGGGTATTTTAGCAAAAGGACTCCTGTTGCGAGGAGACACTAGTGTGCAGTTGGTGGTGCTCTGTGGAGATAAACCTACACGGACTTTATTAGACAGAGTTGCAGATAATCTCCCAAAACAGCTAGCGGTGAGTTAGAGTTCTTGTGCACTTGATGCCTCTCAAATTTCACAAACCATTTTAGGAGTGACATAGTACAACTTCACACTGGTTGGTAGTGATTGTGAAACACACCTGTGTACATAAGGTTATTCACATGTTTAACGTGCTACCACCCAACACATTTGCTGTGATTAGAACCTTGTCTCCAGATATATGCATATGGTTAGTTAGCTTTATAAACAAGTTCATGGATGTGCATACTTATTTATCTTCACATTTGCTTGTGCCCTTGCACTTTGATATACATTTGAGGGTAGTTGGCTGTTCACACTCACAGATTTGTTCACCTAATATGTACAGTACACTGCACCCACAGAAAGATGCTTATGTTGTATCCACATGTGGATGATATATTCTGCTTTCTATTAGATACCCTAATGATACTATACATGTGAAGATGTATTCCAAGATATCCACCTCTGTGTTGGGGAGAAAAGTTCCCTCCCTGTGGTGAAACAGTCTCTGAACTGACTTACCCCGACTGTTGTATCTCATGTCGGGTCAATGCTGCTTCATTTTGGGCGGTAGAAAACTTTTGAACCCTGACTGTAAATCCATTAAAAAAAAATCATGTGGCTGCCAGCAGATTGATAAATACTCACAGGGGAAGATATGCATGTGCAGTGAATCAAGGCAGGTGAGTGTTGACACATAAAAGCACCTATTATGAATACTTATTACACCCAGGCATGTACAGCTTTCTTATTAAAGTTAACTTTAATAACAAAGAATGGAGTTGACATTTTGTTGTCTTGTGTCTGATTATTTATGAGAGGATTTCCCCATTTATTATTTATTTGTATGTGTTTTGTGTGTATCCTAAGGGCAAACACAAAGGGAATATACATTTCTTTGCACAAAAGTAATCCCCTAGACAGCCCACCCCCCCCTGCGTGGCAACAAATGTTATTCACAGCCATTTTGAGAATCTAAAACACACACACACAGACACACACACACGCACATATCAAGAAGCGCTCAACACACTGACCCTTTCGACTCTCACTGACCATCACCACGACCTCATCTGCAAATTTGGTAAGAAGTTTCTACACCATCCTCGACACCGGCTCCTACTACCACCTGAGATCCCTAGCCCGAGAATTGCTGTTCGACACCACAACCGCATCCAGCCCATACGTGCACGAACTGATCGCTATAAGAACAGCCCAGTCCCAACCATTGTAAAAATTATCAATAACTTGTAATAAACCAGTGTATTCACTCCCAGTAAACACTACTCCTTGCACTGTAACTATGTTGAAATGAATTGTAGTTTGAGCTTTTCCCCATCCAGTTATTACATATCTTATTTGTATCACTTATGTTACTTGTATATTATTTGTAATTCGAAACCCATTCCCCAAATATGTAACTGTATATTTTCAGCCTTCTGGCTGCCAAGTTCTTTCAATAAACCGTTAATTATTATTATTATTATTATTATTACACACACACGCACACACACACACACACGAATTTTAAGGGCATGCAGTATACACTTATCTTTCTGAATTGTATACTGTATATATATTTTTTTTCATTCAGCTGCTAGGTATGCCATTAGTGAAGCGCAGTTAGTTGAATGTTTCATCATAGTATGATATTTAATCATTTGCATCTTGCTCATTTACTTTCAGGGCTATGAATATGTTGCAAAGTGAATCAAAACATTTCTCGTTGATTTTGCAACATGAATGATTGTTTCTAAATTAATTTTTATATGGTATATAGATATTTTTCAACTATATCTTTTATGCGCTACTATTGGTACTACTATTTCTTAATTGCATATTCCTCCTACTTCATTGGACACATTATAAACATTTAACAACTTACATGCAATGTGATTGTCAGTAACTAGGATGTAGGTGTTGTTAAATGGATATGAGGATATATATTTATTGTTCCCAGCCTCCAGTTACAAATTTTACCACTATTGGTTCAAGGCAACTTTTGAGTTATAATACAGTATAGTCTACCTATTGTAGGGGTTGACAGCAGTAATATTTCTTTTAATTGTTTTAGGTGGTGGCACCGGAAGACAAGTATGAGATACAGAGAGTCGTGGAAGAAGCAGCATTAGTTGTACAGAATATTGGAGAGCAGCGGATTTCGGTGAATGTGACCCTAACTTCTCCCATTATGAGGGAACAGCTTCTTCATGATGGAGGTAACACAAACAGGCAAAAATCATAGCCTGATTGTCTACAGAGACAGGTTAAGAAGGAAGTCTTTTATATGGATTGAGTAAATTATTCTGTCTTCAATTTTTTTCCTAATCTTTTTCTTTCATTTAAACTGATTTTTCAGTATGAATCTCTCCCTATCAATTTTTTATCACTTTTGTTTCCCTTACTCCCATTTATCTTAACAGAATATCTCAGTATCCATTGAAAGACTTTTCTAACTAGGGGAAGTCAAGGTTTTCATCACAGAGCACTATACTTTTTTTCATGTTGAACTGAGCAAAATTATTGACTATTTGTGATCTCAAGTAATTGTGATGAAAATGCTACCAAGACTAGCCTCTTATACTGCTTAACATGGAGACCAGGGGACACAGTGAAAGCAATATTATGGACACATTGTTTAGTAGGCCCTGTTTTGTGACCAACTTAATTTTTTTTTTATGTAAATTAAGCATTGCTGGCCCCTGGTTCACTAAGTGATAACTTTCCCCTCTCTGTCTTGATGGTCATCTGTAAATGGAATGAGAAAAGGGCCATATAAAGAGACACTGGACAAGAGAATTACGTTCTTGCAGTCAGCTTTTGACCTCAATCTAAACTGTACTATACTTTTTTCAGTTAAGTCTGTGCCTTGACACCAGGCATGAACATTGTGGCTCTCTTGTACTGCAGAGGGGAAGAGTTGCCCATTTGCCACACCTGACCCAATCTCCACCATCCCTGGGAACACAGACCTAGAGCAGTCTTAGCTGTCTTATTCTTTATTTTTAATTAATACTTGTCAGTAGCTACCATATATTGTACTCAAATTTCTTTGCTCAATATTTGCCAAGGAATCTTACACATAGCTTTGAAATTTTAAATTATTTAAAGAAAAGCACTCGGTTATAGACTGCCTGGCTTCCTGTTTACCCTATGCCTACACCGTCATGGTGCTAGGCTGTTGTGAAGTTTACATGTGCAGGCAGAGGTGGTGGGTGGTGAGAGGACGATGACGGGTGGGTGGGTGTGGCGCGGGTGTGTGACGGAAGCTGTGTTGTTGTATTTTAGACTCCCAGGTGACCGCCGCCAAGGATCCTCCAGATGCGCTCGACAAGCAGAAATGTCTGGACGCTCTTGCCGCCATCAACCATGCCACGTGGTTCCAGGTTTGCAACCCTTTCATCTGAGGGTTAAATTAGGGTAGGCTGTTCCTTCCATTACTTTGAATAAATGTGAAGGAGCAGGCTAGCCTAGCCTCCCTCAAACTTTTCAGCCTTATGGAGATGTGTGGGTGGGTTGGGTTAGAAACTGATAGGCTAGTTTTAGGTCATGTCAGGTTTTTGCCTTAACTGTGCAACCTTGATTAACTGCCACCTGTTTGTTTTTATAATGCACATTCTGGAAATCAGCATGCATGGAGACTTAGCAAGGTTCTGTACCAGAAGATCCTCATGCTTTTGGCAATAATTGTGCCTTTCTTAGTTTTGATCTTTCTCATTTTCAACTTGCTGAGTTGGTCATTTTCATGCTGATTTTCAGAGTGTACTCAATCTTTCACAGCTGCCAGTTTGTAGGGTTTGGACAGTGATGGAAAGAGCCTGTATTTCATTCATATCATGGTGAATTTTATTTTTTGTTTTTCCTTTAAATTTCATGATCAATCTTTAGCTAGGAAAAGAAGAATCTATTGCCCCCCCTTAACTACTCCCTGATTGTGGTTGGTGTGCCGTGAGGTAGTGATGTTTTGACCTACTACCTTTCACCTCATCGGTATATGAGGCAAGGTAGTAGAATCCCTTTTCCCCAAAGATGCCCATTATCCCTGCCCCACCCCACCTCTTTACAGCTACCTCACAGCAATACCCTTTTACCCATTCATGGAGGTGTCTCATTGTGGGCTTAGCCTACAAGAAAATGCATGAGGCTGGAAAGTACAGGAGGACTTTGCTTCGTTATGGAAAGGAGCTGTACTATCATGCACCAAAGGCGTGTCCACTACCCATCCACAGTGAGGCTTCGAATAGTTTTGAGTCTGAAGTTTCGAAACAGCTGGGGGAAATGCTATGGTCGGTCAACAGATGTCGCCCACTGTTTTGTGGGGGGGGGGGGAATAGAGGGGGTGGGGTCTGGATGAGAGGCAGGTTTATTTATTATTTGTACCACCATAATTTCAAGCTACCTTTTAAACTACGTTTTGTCTTACAGCTGTTTCTTTATGGTTACGAATTCATGGAACAGGTGCAGTGCCCTGGGTGCTTATTGCTGCTCAGGTCACAATGATACTTTAAAGAATGGAATATAATAACAATAAAAGTAAAATTTGCAATGATCAGGGTGAAGGGCCTTGGTCAGCTTGTTTTATTCAGCGACCACGTCACAATTTTGTACTTATTCCGACAAAGAGATTATGGTAATATTTATTTATATTCCACCCTTCCTTTGCTTAATAAATATTTGTGATAATATGCAATATTATATAATTATATACTTATGTTAAAAAGAGTGGAGTGAAAAAGTTATCAGTACAGTATTACCCCGCCTAACGCGGTTTCACTTAGCGCGTTTTACCGTATACGCAGTGCCTGCCAGAGCTGAACTTTCACTTAACGCGGGTTTTTTCCACGTATTAGCGGTGAGTGTCCGGCTCGAGAGCTATTTTTAGATTCGCCCCACCCCCCACCCTGCCTGACTGCCTGTTTTAGCTCATAAAATTCATACAAATTACCCAGCCAGAATATAATTTATATTGCTGGAATTCTTACAATATCTAAAATTTGTATGTCTAATGCAAAATCTATGATGTTTATATTCAAAATGATCATCTTATTGTAAGAATTCCAGCAATGTAAATTATATTCTGGCCGGGTAATTTGTATGAATTTTATGAGCTAAAACAGGCAGTCAGGCAGGGTGGGGGGTGGGGCGAATCTAAAAATAGCTCTCCAGCCGGACACTCACCGCGTATACGTGGAAAAAACCCGCGTTAAGTGACAGTTAGGCTCTGGCGAGGCACTGCGTATACGGTAAAACGCGCTAAACGAAACCGCGTTAAGCGGGGTAATACTGTATATAATTATATTGTGTTATAAGACAACACATTCCACGACGTGTCATACAGATCATTGTATACCACACAATACATAATTTGTGGCTCTTAAGTTACTTTGTTATGAATTTTCATGCGATATAGTTTAAGACATCATTAAGGACATGGATTTAAGATAACACTGTAGGTGAGTTAATATATATTAATTGTATCCAAACAATACACCAATACACACATCTTAGTATTTGGTCCAGCCACCCATTGCATTCAGGACTTCATCAAGGCGATTAGGGATGGAGTCGACCAGCTTCAGGCACACCCCTGGGCGTCGACGTATACTCTCCCACACGTCGTAAGCTTTGGCCTCTATTGCTGCATAGGTTCGCTGCTCCCCAATATCCCAATCACGTTTCATCATGGCCCAAATATGTTCAATCGGATTAATATCACATCCTAGTGTTGGCCAGTCGATGACCTCAATTTCAGGGTGATCCTGGAGGTAGACCTTCACTATGTTGCTGGTATGAATGGGACTGTTGTCATGAACCAGCCTGATAGTGTGGGGGGCTGGAACTGCCATAGCCCGGACTGTAGGAATTAGCACTTGCTCCAGGATGTCTACATACTGCTCACCAGTGAAACAGCCACTGATCTTGACCAGTTCACCTTGCCCATGTGCCCACATCCACCCTCAGAATGACACTGACACCCTACCACTCACTGCACGCTGTTGAATGCGTTTCTCATGGTTAGCGTGTGTTGGGGGGCCGCCAGCACTGTCTTGCTTCAGCTCCCACTGACCTGAACATAGTTTCATCGGTAAATATAATGGTTCTCCAGTATTCTTCTCTGTGTGGAAGGTGTTCCAATGCAAAGCCGAGTCGACACTCCTTGTGAGTAGGTGTTAGCCACCCTTTGTGAGCTGGAATATGGCAGTCGATCTTGGCTTCGTGTCTCGTCGTCATGTGATGGCAGTTGAGGCCCAGATTTCTTGTATGCTCCACTGATGTTCGCATTGGATATGCCGTTGCAGCTGCCACAATCATGGCGTCCATCCTTGCCAACGTTACTCGTGTCCTCCCGCTTCGAGGTTTCGTCTCCACTGAACCCTCTTCCTCCCACCGGCGGATCCACCTCCTAATCGTCTTGGTGCTCCTACCCCACTTCGAGAGCAATGTTCGGCACAGTTGCCCCGGCTCTCCACATCCCGATGATTTGGCCTTGCTCAGCAATCACTGCCGACGAATTTGCTCGTCTTGCAGGCTATCTGAAAGGGCAGAGTAATATTATGTTGTGGTAACTGATGTAGGCTTTTATACAGTGAACCCTCACTTTACACGGTTAATTGAACCCACGGCGGCCCGCGTAAAGCGAGAAACGCGTAAAGTGAACAACATAACATATGGGATTAATTGAAATAGAGACCGGGCTGACCCCCAAACTCCACTTTTTCCCGACACAATACATACGTTTTACTAAAAATAACATCTTAAGTTTATGATGGTATTCACCCACACATAATATAGAAGGGAACAGTCAATAAGAGAATAATAAACTGAAGGTTAGGTTAGAAAAATACAAGGTTGGAGTTAACACTTACGTTAGTAGAAGAGATGGGTCGGCATAGGGGAATGGAGGCTGGTTCCGAGGCAGAGGGCAGGCTACTGGTCCTCAGGTGAGTCTTCATCGGTGTCATCCACACTTACTAGTGCCTCCCTGACAAATCCCTCAAAGTCATCATCACTGTCTCTGCTTCTGTCACTATCACTGGCTTGGGCTGGCTGTGGTGGGTTGCGGGCGAAGAACTCTGTTATGCGTTGCTGACGGCTGGTGTTTATGTTGTCGTGATAAACCTTGATGTAGGGCTCCATAGTCTGCAACAGCTGGGTAGTGAAGACTTCATACCTGTTTGCGTCAGGGTCGTCGGAAAGGAGGAGCTTGACTTTCTCAATACACTCGATGGCACCCCTTACATTACTATGGGATAAGCGGCGTTCTTCTTGGGATGACGCACCACCTGCCTCTTCACTGACGTCATCATCATCTACCATCTCGTCGGTAGTCACATCAGGATCCCTTATCACCTTCAGGATGTCGTCGTTGGTGGTCTCGGAGAAGCCTGCAGCTGTAACACTCTGCGCAGCTTCTCTGGCAAGGTCCACTGCTACTGCAACAGTCTGAACCTCACCAGTCACAGATTTACTCTGCCTAACACCCGGAATGCCTTGTAACACATTTCTCCATGCATGACGAACAGTTGCTACAGACAGCTGATCCCATGCCTCCACCAAGAAGTCCACAGCTTTCTTGACGTTGAATGTTCTCCAGAATTGTTTCAAAAGTACTTCTTGCTCTGCCAACTGTTGATCCTCGTCGTCTTCGCTCTTGCTATCGGTGGTGGTGTCACTCAGGTTACGCAACTCTTCCTTGGTGTTGATGTAGTCGTTCAGGAGGTTGAATTTTTTAGCAGAGAATGCAGCTTTTATATTACAGATCAATTCTTGGTCCATGGGCTGTATAATAGACGTAGTGTTGGGAGGAAGGAAGACCACTTTTACGTTGGGGTGACGATCTAACAGTAGGGGCGAGTGTCCTGGTGCGTTGTCAAGCAGCAACAAAATCTTGAATGGCACATTCTGTTGCTCACAGAATTTCTTCACATCGGGAACGAAACAGTCATCAAACCAGGAGAGGGACAGTGTAGAGAACATCCACGCCTTACGTGCGGTCAGCCAGTGGACATTTAGCTTGGTCATGTCCATGCTCTTGTAGGCGTGCGGCTTGCATGCTCTGTGGATCACCGATAACTTGAGCTTACAGGTACCGGAGGCATTGGTGGTAAACAGGACGGTGATGCGCTCCTTCTGCAACTTCCGGCCCCGACATTTGCTGGCATTCTTCACAACGAAGGTCTTGGAAGGTACCTTTTTCCAAAGAAGACCAGATTCGTCCATGTTAAACACCTGGTCGTCGGTGTACTGTCCTTCCTCCATAATCTCACTTTAAAATGGAGAAAATTCACCTAGCCGCAGCACGGTCAGCACTAGCTTCTTCACCACCAATGTTGATAGTGGTGATCTTGTTCCTCTTCTTAAACCTCTGTAACCACCCAGAGGAAGCATTAAAGGGTTTGGGCTCTGTAATTCCCATCTTTCGTGACACTGCAGCATACAGTTCACGTGCGTACTCCTTAACTGAGCGTGTGTCTACCACCATGTTCCATCGCGCCTGACGCACCAAGTAGCTCACAAGTAATTTTTCCGTCTTGAGAAGCACCTGGTTGTGGAAATACTCGATCATAGAAGCACCTGTAGACTTTGTGATGTTCATGTGCTCCTTTATCTTGGCTGCATCCTTCTTAATTGTCCTGATAGTTGATTCGTTAACACCATGCTGGCACGCGAGATCAACCTGTCTTGTTCCTTTCTCCAACTCTTGTATTATCTTATATTTTATTTCTTAGCTTAAGGAACGTCGTGTCTTCTTTGGCTTAGGGCGGCTGGGTCCAGATAATGCAAGGTTTCATTGTGGTGGTGGTCCGGTGGAAGCCATTCTTATGGAACAATGGATACCGATATACACGGTGTAGCCGGGAGGGGTGTAACTGACGCGGTAGGTCAAGGGGCTTGAACGCTCCCGCGGCGGGGCACGTCATAGTACTACATTAAACCAATCACAGCTAGCAGGGAGGGAGGTAAGGATGCTTTGCCCAATGACAGTCCGCTACGTCATATGACGTCACCGATAACGCAACAAAGACATACACTGCGCAACCTACTCGCGCCGCTTACACAACATGGCGGATGGCGGGAGGTTTGGATCCAAAAATGGCGCGGCGCGAGAGGACCGCCAGCCGCTCTCCACGTAAAGGGTACACGCACCGCGGAAAGTGAGCATTCCGTGTTCGGCAGGGTACCACGTAAACCTGGAAACGCGTAAAGTGGGACCGCGTAAAGCGAGGGTTGACTGTAGAAGGTGAAAATTTTGTTTGTAAATGAAAGAAATCTTTATATGGTTTGAAACAAAGTGGCCAAAATTGGAACAACATGCTTCATAATTTTCTTTTGAGTGAAGGTTTTCATCAATCTCTTGTAGATTATTGTGTGTATACTAGAATTGTAAACAAGGTGAAGGTAATTATTATTATCTGGGTAGACGATATAATTATTGCAGCCAGTAATGGTGACATACTTAGTGATGTAAAACTTTCCACGTTCTTAGGTATGGAGTTCAAATTTGAAGGTGACTGTATTATGATAAATCAAACTAAATATTTAGAGAAAATACTTAATAGATTTAAAATGTCTGACTGCAACCCTAAGTCAGTACCATGTGATTTAAGTGTAAGTAAAATCATTAGTAGTTACTCTAAAGAACTGTGTGATACTAGATTGTACAGACAAATTGTCGGCAGTTTGATCTATGTAATGACTGGTACAAGACCGGATCTATCTTATATTGTTTCAAAATTGTCGCAACATATGGCAAAGCCTACAAAAGCACTTTTTGAATTAGCTAAACATGTTTTGAAATATGTTAAAGGTACAATTCATTATAACTTAAAGTTCAGGAAATTAAACAGTCCATTAAAATTGATTGGTTACTGTGATTCAGATCGGGGTGCATCGGAAGACAGGCGTAGTATTACAGGTTACAGTTATCAATTAAATGAAGATGGTCCATTGATTTCTTGGAAATCTAAGAAACAGAATGTTGTAGCATTGTCCTCATGTGAAGCTGAATATATGGCTTTAACAGCAGCTATGCAAGAGGCTAATTTCTTAAGACAGTTGTTAACTGATATGCAAAATTCTAATAGAGAACCTGTAACATTGAATGCTGACAATCAGGGAGCTATTGCATTGGCTAAAAACCCTGTACATCATCAAAGGTCAAAACATATCGATATTAAGTACCATTTTATTAGATCAGAAGTAGAAGATGGTATTATTAATCTGCAGTATGTTCCATCAGAAAATAACATTGTTGATATGTTCACTAAACCAGTATCTAAAGAGAAACTAAAGAAGTTTGGTATTATAAGAGGTGTACCCTAGTTTAAGAGGGGGTGTTAGATATAAACTAGGTTACCCCATATTTATGTGAATATGTTCTATTATGTTTTATTTTAGTTGTGGAATAAAGCGCCACTTTGAATGCGCATGTTATGTTTGTTTTGTTTTTACTGATGGTCCCGAAAATATACTGGAAAGAGCAACATCGTTTGTGTTATTGTCTGAGCCTCTCCCATCATATTTCGTTAATATCCACCAAAAATGAACACTGTAACTTCAACAGGAGTCGAGTCCATTATTTGAATGGACATTAACCTGGTGACTGTATTTCTCTTAAATATTAATTGTGTGTGCGTACCATCATAAAATTAAGATGTTATCTTTACTAGAACATAGGTATTGTGTCGGAAAAAGTGGAGTTTGGGAGTCGGACCAGTCTCTATTTCAATTAATCCCATATGTTATGTTGTTCACTTTACGCGTTTCTCGCTTTATGCGGGCCTCCGTGGGTTCAATTGACTGCGTAATTTGAGGTTTCACTGTACTGGTTTTGAAAGTGGAAGCCATCACCATCAATTTGACCCTGTATAAAACCCCTTGGCCAACTTGTTAAGGGATTGTCAGTAATTCTGTGGACTAGTTAGCTGCCCAGCATTTTAAATCTGTTAACTAATTTCCCCAAAGAAAAAGTTGATGCTGTTCTTGGTGTAATGATTGTAGGTATGTTTGTGATTATTACTGTTTTTTATACAATTTATACCATCCTTATCTGTTGTTAATTATTATTATTTTTTTTCATTTTAGCATGCCTTGCGGTTGATTGCATCCCGTCAGATACACAAGGTGCTTGGAATGGACCCATTTCCACCACCAAAATTCCAGCGGGGTGGCCGCTTCACTAATAAGAGGAAACGTGATAATTCCACAAGCGAGGGTAATGACTCCGAGGGTGAGTTGGACGGTAGGCATTAAAATAGTTTTTGTTGTAGGACGGTTACTTTAATCTTTCTTTATTGCTTAATAATTACCGTATATGTTATCCTCTGTCTCTACTGACTACCAAAGAGGACTGTCTTTCTATAGTCTTTTTCCCTTACACGAGGTCTGTCCGGAAAGCATCCAGCCATTTACTATTAAAAAAAACATTGCTTACCTAGGCCAATGGCACTTTAGTCCCCTTCAAAGTACTCCCCTTGGGACTTACACACTTCTCCCAGCATCCCTTCCACTTTTCAAAACAGAAAGCAAAGTCCTCTTTCGGGATCTTCATCAGCTGCCTCGTCGCATTCTCCTTTATCTCGTCCACTGTCTAAAATTTCCTCCCTTTCAACGGCGATTTTAGCTTTGAGAAAAGCCAGAAGTCGCAGGGAGCCAAATCTGGGCTATAGGGGGGCTGAGAGACCTGGGTGATGCGATGTTTTGCCAAAAAACCCTGCACGAGACGTGAAGAATGGGCAGGCACGTTGTCATTAAGCTGCCAGTCACCACTTGCCCACTGCTGCGGTCGCTTTCTTCTTACCGCATCCCTCAGCCGGCGAAGAACTTTGATGTAGTACTCCTTTGTTATTGTTTGGTCATTGTAAATGCGACGGTCACACAGTACTCACGCTCACTCAATGGCGTCTGCCGGTCAACTGAGTTGTCCCACGGGAGTATGGCTGTTCATGCATGCGCAGTACGGTCCTTTCTGAGTGGCTGCCAAGTTACATCAAAGCCGCATGACCAGTTCTCACAATATTCACAATGGCTGGATACTTTCCGGACAGACCTCGTATATACACTGTGTGCGCTTACCTACATTGTGTACAGTAGACCCGTGGTATTTGCAGTTTCTAAATTTACAAATTTCTTATATTCGTGAGTTATTCAATACAGGTACTCCCCGACTTACGACGGGGTTAGGGACCGACATCCAGGTCGTAAGTCGAAATGGTCGTAAGTCGGAAATGCTTAAATAACACAGAAAATCGAAAATTTGGGTCTCTTTTTCTTTTCAGCACCACAAAACACTCACTTTTAAGCTTGCCAGCCATTTTAAAGTGAATTACAGATGGTCGTAAGTGCGGGTGGACGTAAGTCAAGTCGGTCGTAAGTCGGGTACTACCTGTATACTGTAGTCATGAATTCTCAATGGGTTGAAATCCTTGCTTCTTGGGGTAAACCTTTACTGTATCTTATACATGAAAAATATCATAATCCATGAAATATTATTTACTATAGCAGTACAATGAGGGTAAAACCACATTGACTTCCCATCTACCACATTTTTTTTTTCCCAAAGTGGAGGTGCAGCTTACTATCAGATACCTCACCCCACACCAGTCCCCTCCACCGTTACTACCTCACCCCACACCAGTCCACACCACCATTACTACCTCACCCCACACCAGTCCCCTCCACCGTTACTACCTCACCCCACACCAGACCCCACCACCATTACTACCTCACCCCACACCAGTCCCCACCACCATTACTACCTCACCCCACCACCACCCCACACCAGTCCACACCACCATTACTACCTCACCCCACATCAGTCCCCACCACCATTACTACCTCACCTCACACCAGTCCCCACCACCATTACTGCCTCACCCCACACCAGTCCTCACCACCATTACTGCATGTCATCTACCCACGAGAATGTTAACAAGAATGATAATCAGTGACCTGTCCTACTGTGTCTCAAACCCCCAAAATAGTAATAAATCATTTACTGATATTAACTTTACCTTTTTTTTTTCATCATACACTCTATCCACGTTCATTTAACAAAAACGTGCTCCCAGTCACTTGAATTGCCGAAAAATCCAAATTAACTGAGCTAGGGTTATTTTGACTTTTGAAAACATCCAAATTTTGGTGTTAAATTACAGGTATTAGTTCGTTTTCTGTTCAGATGTTGCATCTTATTCGGATCGTTCCAAAGACTGTTCTCATTATTTTAACCAACAAACATACTCAGTTACCATGCCTAGGGTGCACCAAAAAAATATTCTATTATAATTACTGTGCAAACTTAGATATTTTTTAAATAAACATACAAGTAATAATTAAGTAAATAATAGAATAATAAATAAATGGATCACTTACATTGCCAAGTGAGCTGATAATGTGTAGATGATATTCCGAAAGTGTAACTGTCACATTGCCCAGTGTATGGTTTATGTGTGGAAGAAGCTAGCTATATATACAGTATGTGGTGTCTGGATCATGTGCACCTTCACTGGCTCCCTCAGAGTCACCACGTCTCTCATCTTCACTAAATGGCCATTCATCTTCACTTGTTAATTGACTCAGTTTGTGTCATATCCACCAAGACTATCACTATAACTAGTGGGGTGGGATGGCATGACAAGGAAGCATCCTACAGTTGCTGTATGTTTCTCTGCCCATATCTACGGTAACATTATGAGAGTTGCCAATTAGGCTTCCTATCACCAATATTTGCTTGCTGTAATCTTTCCCAAGAGTTTTAAATGCATACACCATATACTTTACGTACCATCTGCAGTGAATCTTTTATTATTCAGAGAGACAGATGTATCAGCCATAAAAGGGGTTAACCTTCATTGTTCTTATATATTTAACATTTTCCCTAATACTGTTTTGTACAGTATTCAATTGTACCTGTAATCAAACCCCTCGTTTTCCATTGAAGCAAGGTTTCTATTTTCGTTGATTTTGCATTGGCAAAGTTTTTCACTGACAACCCTCACAAATATCAAGAGTCTACTGTACATTTTCTGGCCAGTAAACGTTTGGGGCCATACTGAATTGTACTGTTCTGTCTGTCCATTTAGTGGGATATTTTATTATGTTCCCACCAGTGATTGTAATGAAGCTATGCTAGAGTGCACTGTATTGTCCTTTGTCTGTCTGTCTCTCTCTGTTTTACAGGAGGATCTATAATTAGTTGGAAGTAGACTGAAAATTTGCATGTGATTTATTATTTATTATTATTATTATTATTATTATTATTATTATTATTATAATACATACAGTATGCTGTACCTGTATTTGGGGGGGGGAGCAGGGGTTCCTTTCGTGCGGAAGGAATTCAAAGTTTGTGGATATAATTATTCTGGTTCTCCTGAAGCCTTCATACTGTTCTGCATAATGCATTTTGGCTTGACAATTCTGGCATGGTGTCCTCTGATAGGCAAGAGGTCAGAGCTTTGTTCCATCACATGTACGTTGGTTTTAGTTAATGACATCCTCATGTTTTTCGTAGCTAATTCTATTAGTAAATTGGCAGACTTTTAATGCCATGGCTTTGGCACATCCACTCAGAAGCTTGTAATGAAGTCCAGGATTTAAAAGTTTCGATCACAATTCGGTACACGTACCAAAAGCCCTGAAACAACCTAGAATTTTTAATTGGACTCTGGGTCATGCCCCTGACACCTGCCTCCAGCATGGCAGTTAACAATAACATAGATATTCATGAATAATTTTATAAACCAGTGGACTGTTGATTATTCTTTTTTGTATCATGTGTCAGATCACAGTCTCTTTGTTCTTAGAGATTCATGAATGGAATGCCAAGAAGAGTGGTATATGTTTGAGGGGATGTTGAATTTTAACAAATCAGCTGTAGAACCTTTTAAAAAACATATATACAGCTCCTCCCCGACTTACGACCTATTCGACTTACGACCACCCGGACATACGACCTCCTCAGTCGTAACAAAATTTTGTCAAATTAGGGTATTTTCGAGTCCCAACGTCAGTGATTGCACTGTGTACTGACAAAAGTTTTGTTTGTAATTCACTTTAAAATGGCTGGCAAGCTTAAAAATGAGAATTTTGTGGTGCTGAGAAGAAAGAGACACCCATTTTAGATTTTCGATGTATTATTTAAGTATTTTCGACTTACGACCTGGATTTGGGTCTCTAACCCCGTCATAAGTAAGGGAGGAGCTGTTTATGGTTCATAACCACTGAAATGCTAATATGAATTTAGTGGATAAAAATTCGAGAATGGAAAACAATTATTAAAGGTTAAAATTTATTTAGTTGATCATTTCAGCAGTGAAATGCATAGACCATTTATGAAAATGGCATAGGCACAATTTTTTTGTTTTTTTACAAAGTTATATGGTATATGAAGATGTCACAAAGAGTTGTCATGACTCGATGGAGATCAGTGAAAGGAGTGAGTACCGAGTGAGTACCTTTTCTCTTGATTATGGCCACCTTACAACATTGGTAGGAAAAGACTTGTAACAGTGAAAAGGGGTATGGGAGAAAGACTAGTGAAGCACAGCACTGAATGTAAGGTTGTATTGTGTTGGTCTAGTCTACTGTTTCAGATCAGTAAATTCTGAGCATAAACTTGTTTTATCTTAATGTTGGGGAGAGAGTTTATCTATTTGGTTGCAATTATGGGTTGTAGGTAATTTTTGTTTGTCATTTTTTAGGTTGAGATGGAAAGAAAGACAAGAAAGAGGATGGTGAAGATTCCAAGATGGATATGGATAAGGAGACCAAGTAAAATAAAAAAAATATTAAAAGGTGCTGGAATAGTCGTTATATTTTGCTAATAATTTTAAGGCAACTTGTCCTTGATCTTGATAATCCTTTTGTTGATTAAAATTTCAACACATCTACTATGAAGTGTTGATAGTTGTGTTTTTAACAGGCAGTGTTCCTGCATTAAGTACTTTTTTAAATAAAATGTATTCCAATTTATTCACATTCATTGTTTGTTTTCTAACCAAGACCAACTTTATGGCATACGGGCATTTGCTGCTACACATTATTTTGATATTTTGACAAAGATTTTTGTTTACGTGTCCGAGAACTCTCTTAATTTATTTGTCGTAGTACAGAAAACGTACGAGAATTTTGTTCGGCATTTGCACGAAATAATTATAAGTAGTAGTTAATTCTTAAGTCTGTCAGCAATGGCAATATCTATATATAGATACACAAGCATATATATTCTTGAAAATTGTTTTACTGGAGTTCATTAGTACTGTACATGTGTTTTGGCAGACAGGAATGCTATTATAAAGGCCCAAGGGAAATATTACTATGATTAAACCCAAAGTTATTGAGGCAGTATTTACAATGTTTTGCATTGTAAAATACTTAATATATATATATATACATACAGGTAGTCCCCGACTTACGACTGCATGGACTTACGTCCATCGGTACTTACGACCTGCTCTGACCTTACGTCCGTCAGGACATACGACCGCGGCAGTCGTGACCAAAAATATTTTCAAATGACGCGCGCATTTTCTATACCGAAACTTTTCCGTCCTGGGCGAGAGCGTGGCGCGTCTCGGGTCACCTCGTGGGTACACTCACTCAGTAGAGCGCTTAAGTCAGTGAGAACAACTCAACAGTAACAGTCGTACCCAAGTTAACCTTCACACAGTGAGGTCCCAGGTACCCAGTGATAACGGCCCCCGCGAGACCCAACAACAACCACCGATGTGTTAATCCGTCTACGATAGGAAGGCCTGGGACCAAACCTCACTCATATAACACCATCTGTGAGGGAATTACTACACCACATGTCCCTCATAACACCATATGTGAGGGAATTACTACACCACGTCAAGTCCCATCACACCATCTGTGAGGGAATTACTACACCACGTCAGGCCCCTCATAACACCATCTGTGAGGGAATTACTACACCACGTGATGCCCCTCATAACACCATCTGTGAGGGAGTTACTACACCACGTGAGGCCCCTCATAACACCATCTGTGAGGTAATTACTACACCACGTGAGGTCCCTCATAACACCATCTGTGAGGTAATTACTACACCACGTGAGGTCCCTCATAACACCATCTGTGAGGGAATTACTACACCACGTGAGGCCCCTCATAACACCATCAGCGAGGGAATTACTACACCACGCCAGGTCCCTCATAACAACATCTGAGGGAACTACTACACCACGTGAGTTCCTCCTAACACCATCTGGGAGGGAGTTACTACACTACGAGTTTGCTGTTCAACACCTACATTAATCTGTATGTTCACTGTATGTTCCTTTACCTTTCTCTAATGAAGGCTTTTGTTAAACCACCAATGTATGTAATAAGTCATTTATGTCCAATGTATATTTTCAGCCTTCGGGCTGCAGAATTTTTTCAATAAACCGTTAATTATTATTATTATTATTATTATTTAGTTGGTGTTTGGCTATCGTATCGTATACTGATCGCGCTGTGAACTTTCGTTATTATCGTATTTAATTGACTTTATAATGACTGAAAAGCGTAAAAGTGAGAGTGCTGGTGGTGCTCCAAAGAAAAGGAGACAGGCAATTACTTTTGAGATGAAAATGAAGATAACACAGCATGAGAATGGAAAAACAGTAGAAACAATTTCACGCGACCTAGGTTTCTCACACTCGACTATATCCACTATTCTGAAGGACAAGGAACGTATTCGTGATGTAGTGAAAGGAACAACACCTATAAAGGGAACTATAATATCAAAGAAAAGACAAGGTCCTATTCACGATATGGAAAAATTATTGGTGATATGGATAGAAGACCAGATACAGAAGCGTTTACCCTTAAGCCTTCTAACCATACAGGCTAAAGCAAGAAGCCTGTTCCAACGCCTGAAGGAGCAGGCAGGAGATGAATGTGATCAAACCTTTACAGGAAGTCATGGGTGTTTTGATAGATTTAAAAAACGCTACAGTTTACACAATGTTAAGGTGAGGGAAGAGGCAGCTAGTGCCGATGTTGGTGCTGCCGAAGCTTTTAAGGAGGAGTTAGATGAAGTGATTGTGGAAGGGAATTATTTGCCTGAACAAATATTCAATGTGGATGAGACTGGATTATTGTGGAAGCGCATGCCTGAGCGGACATACATCCACATAGAGGCGAAAACAATGCCAGGATTCAAGGCATTCAAGGACAGAATTACACTTCTGTTGGGGGGGAATGTTGCTGGTTTCAAGCTAAAGCCCTTCATGATCTATCATTCAGAGAACCCCAGGGCTTTTAAACATGTCAGCAAGCACACACTGCCAGTGTTTTATCGCAGTAATAAGAGAGCCTTGATGACCCTAGTACTGTTTGAGGATTGGTTCATGACTTGTTTCATTCCACGAGCCAAGGAGTATTGTCTGCAACAACGGATTCCATTCAAGATTTTGCTGATTTTGGATAATGCTTGGGAACACCCACCACACTTGGACGACATGCACCCTGATGTTAAGGTAGTGTACATTCCACCTAACACTACCTCTATCATCCAACCCATGGATCAAGGTGCTATTGCTGCCTTTAAAGCGTATTATTTACGCACGACCTTCGCTCAGGCTGTTGCTGCTACTGAAGGTGAGAAAATGCTCGGAGAGTTTTGGAAGGAGTACAACGTTTTGCCATGTATAAAGAACATTAGTGTAGCATGGGATCAGGTTACAAAACATTGCATGAATGGAATATGGAAGAAAATACTGAAAAGATATGTGAACAGTTTCAAAGGATTTAATGGAAATGAAGTTATTTCGGATATGAGTAACAAGATAGTGGAGTTAGGTAAACAGCTTTAGTTAGAAATTGAAATGAAGATGTTGGACAGTTGCTTGAAAGTGTAGCAGAAGAGCTCAGTAACGAGGATCTTATTGAACTGGAAGCACAGAAAATTGCAGAGGAATAAGAGAGTTAAAATGTAGAAGAACCTGCAATCCCCCCAAAAATTTTTTGTGAAACAAATGGCAGAGGCATTTGCTACATTTAATAAGGGGATGCAAATGTTTGACGGAATGGATCAAAATGTTGAGCGTTTTGCAAAAGTTGACAGAATGATCCAAGATGCACATGCTTGCTACATGGATATTTACAATGAAAAGAAAAAGCAAACTGTGCAGTCTAAATTGGACATATATTTTAAGAAGTCCCCCATTGCTGTCTCCTCACGCCCCACCAGTGCTGCCTCTTCACTCCCTAAATATGATCCAATACCTTCAACAAGCAAGTTAACCCTGTATATTAACCTGTCTGAAGAAAGCGATGTTGATGACCCACCCAGCCCTGTCTCCTCCTCTGCTTCATCCAGTTAATGTAGTCTCCATGCATAATTAGAAAATTATGGGGGTCCCGTGTGCATTCAGCTGACTACCTGGGTACATTAAAGGTAAGTGCACAGTAACACTTTATTCATTCTTCGTTATTGATTACTTTTACTGTATTGTACTGTATTTCATTTTAGATTTTCTATATTATTTTTTGCATTTTCGACTTACGACCTGGATTTGGGTCCCTGACCCCGTTGTAAGTCGGGGAGCAGCTGTATATTGTATATGCTATTGAAACCACAGGTGCAGGTGCATTAGAGATAAATCTCTTTGGTAAGTTCTGTATTAAATTTTGAATTCTCACACAATACAGTGCAAAAAAGCTTACCCTTTAGTTTATCTTCTCTCAATAATGGTGCACAATTACAAATATTAACCAAATTCAAGTTTAGTAACAACTAATTGTAAAGGAATTATTAAGACTATATGCCTGGGTAAAGTGTATTTTAACTATTAGGTGCTCACGAAATGAGTAACAATATGAGAAATTAAGTTAAATATGATTAAAACTTCCTGGGTAGGTATTTCTCCCCAGACTTCCCCCCCCACCCACTCAATTTATTTATTTTTTTATTTTTTTTTCAAGACCCAATCACATCCCTGAGAAATGGATGGAAAAAAGTGTAGGCTGTGTTTTTCTATGGCCCATTTTTCACTTTATTGTATTACAGTAATCTTAAATTTGGCATGGTTTTCCAGGCTCCAATAAGTTTGATCGTGAGTTAGAATTAATTTTACCAGGGGATTGATATTGGATATTTAGGGTCAAATTGCATGTATGGGTGAAAGTAAGCATTTGTTCCATTCTTACTACAGTACAGTAAAGTATCTGACAACCAATATTCTGCTTTAAGAAAGACTTGAACCTTCTAAATATGAAATTTTTTAATAAAGAATAGTTTTCTTTTATTTAATTTTCCACCTAAAGTATTTCATGAGAGTAAATGAGGAAAACTGGATAATCAGGCAACTAGCTCAGTGACTGTGTGTTGGGCGGTGTGAGTGACAAGACTGCAGTAGAACGTCGATTTAAAGCGATTCAATTTAAGATTATTGGTTTAAAGTGACACCCACAATTAAGGACAATGTTTTAATTTAAAGTGAATCCTTGCTATTTTGAGTGAGTCAATCTGGTGCATCATACTTTAAAATTCGCGCTTAATGCTTCTCTGGACACGATACAGTGTCCTTAGGGCAAAGCTGTTCTGTACATGCACTCAAAATAATGTACTAAATGATTACTAAAATTTTTGTCGAGTGCAAACTATAGCATGATTATATTCAAATTACCCTAATCACTATCTTATAAGAATTCCAGCAATGCAAATTATATTCTCTCCGGTCACTTCTGTGACATTTTATAAACAAAAAACAAAAACTCAATCTAAAGGACATAAATAAACAAATAAATACTTCACTAGACCTTTGGCGTCTAACTGTCAAACATGTCACCTCCCCTTCCTCCCTCCCTCCCTCCCTCTCCCCCATCTTCCCACCCAGGGTTTGGTGGTTTTAGGCTTTAAGTTTTTATCTTATATAATATCACAGACTAAAGTTATGAGAATATAATTTGCATTGCTAGAATCCTTGCAAGACAGCAAATAATTTGAATATAAACGTCGTATATTTTGC